ATTCAGGATGCCGTGCAACAGCCGCATGTCATGGCTGGGGATTCCAACGTCTCGGTTAATAAGTTGATATAACCGAGATTTTCGCTATGAGCGGGCCTCAATATACTGGCCCCTAATGCCCCTGCCTGTATAATGACGAAGTCGTCGTCCGTCACCGACTACCTCCTCGCCTCGTCACACTTCGACCAAAACCTTTCGGGGCCCGCAGTCCTCGGCGAGTGCCCGCTGAGCCCCCGCGGGCCCGTCGTCTTCCAGCTCCGCTGTGGGAAGCCCTTCATGGTGCCCGTCCTGGATATGCCCCAGCCTTCCTCTACCCCCAGACCCTGCGGGCCAACCAGCTACGTGCCCCCCTGGGTCCGCGCAGAGGCCGCCCTGGACGTCCTGGGCCAAGTCGTAAAGAGGGAGGCTTGAATCGAGTCCCGTCTTCAAGCTCCCGGCTCGGCCTGCGAGTTCTACGCGGGCGACGTGGCAGGGCCCGTCAGCATTCGCGCGGGCGCGCCGATCGAGTCGCCAACCGCGCCGCGCGCGGGTCCGCCCAAGATCAGGCGGGCGCCAGGAGATGCGAGAGGTGTGGAACACGGGGCCGGATGGATATTCTTTTTTTGATATGGCGCGTCGGCTAGATCATAAAGTGAAAGATGTGATTCGGAGGGCCCACGTGGAGAACGAGTTTGTCCTGCGGAGATCCTCCTGAGCATCCGGCCCCCTCGGCCAGGGCTGGAAGGTGCCGAGGGGTTGGACCGCCTTCTCGCCCGTGTCAGGACTGCCCTGGGCGCCGGCGTCCAGGGCATTGACGCGGGCCAGAGGGGGCCGGAGCTGGTCTTGCAGGCATTGGGCGAGCTCGGAAACTCAGAGGGTCGAGCGCCGCGCGCAGAGGAGGCCGACGGACGCCGAAGTGAAAGTGCTTCCGGGAGAAATTGGGCCCGGGAAGCCATGTCCCGCGGCGTTGGTTGGGCTCGCAGGTGGACTTCAAAACTCACCGCTCGGCAGCCTCAAGGTTCTGGGGCCCGCTCTGCAGCGTTTCTCAGCCGTGCGTTTCGAGTTGCCCCAGTCGGAGGCTGCCCGCCTTGCCGGCGCGTTGCGCGTCGCGCCGCAGGGGCAGGTTCACAGTTTGCCGCGGCTGAGCATGGCCACTTGGAGCCCATCGCGCCGTGGCAGATCCGATCAGCAGTCGAGCGATTTTCCACGAGAACAAGTGAGGCCAGGGGCGCATGTCACCCGAGATATTTTCCTTTCCTAGCAATCAGGGGCCCGAGCAGGTCTGTAGGATTCTGGCTTTCTGGCTTCGATCGAGGAGAGGTGTTCCCCCGGCAGCTATGTGGCTGTGCTTGAGAAGCACGAGGCCGACCAGTCTGAGGGCCCATCGTATCGGGGCGTTGGTTCGTTGCCGTCCGCGTCGGGGGCGCGGGAGAAAACCCGTCAGGAGGAGGCTCGTTGATGGGGGAGGGCTAGCAAGAGTTACTTTGGTCACCGGGCTGGTCGAGGAGTGCTGCAGACTGTCTATGCCTGGGCCCTTCGGGCCGAACTAGCTGGCTGCCAAGAGCAGGCTGTTCATGCTGGAGGCGTTCTATCGGATCTAACTACGATGTGGGTGCCAGTCTCGTGAATTTGAAGTCTTCGGGTCCTCGGAGACGCTCGCGTGCCTCGTGATGGACCCATCTGGGGGGCCCCGTGTGGTTGTCGCCGTGGCCCTGGCTACGCATGCAGGCCGCGCTGCTGATGGGTTCTATGCGGGCTGTGCGTTCGCGACCATCTGCGCCTCGATGCACTCGCGCTTTCCCGACGTTGAGCTCTCCATCGTCATGGATGGTTTCATGTTTGCCAGCCGCGGCACTCGCGCTTGCCTCCTTGCCTCGGACTTGGCGACGGCCGCCGGCAGCGTGCTGGATCCAGTCTAAGAAAGTCTCGACTATTCAGTTGCGTTGCACGAGGCGGCGGCGCTCGGCTCGCCCACCATTGCGCAGCAGGATCTGGCCGAAGCTACAGGGGGGCCCAGTGGGCCCGACCAACCCAGGCAGGCGACGTCTGCGCCAAACCGCGGAGTTGATTTCACCGCCCGCGCCACGCTTGCGAGGCGAACCTGAGAAAGGAAAGGAGATTCCATCGGTTGGCTGGGCTCTTGCGAGGTGCGAGCGCGCGGGGGGGATTTTCTGGGCCTGGCCCGAAGGCCGCGGCCTACTGCGGCGCGGAGATCGCAGCCTCGCGAAACCTGGGCCGAGAGAGGCCAGGCTACTATTCCTACAGATTGTTGGCCCCTGCTGCGCCGCCAGGCCCAGGTCTCTGGCGCTGTCTACCTGGGGGGGGGGCCCTGCGTGGAGTGCCGCTTCGGGGCCGGTCTGCTACTGGGCCGACCTAGACTGGGGAGTCGCCCCCGCACCCCCGCACCTGGAACCGCAGACTTCGCCGCCCCCCGCCTCAGAGCCAAAGCTTGGCAGGTCCTCGCCGAGCCCCCTCTGAAGTTGTGCCGTGTCCGAGGCCCCTTTGAGGGCCGCTCTTCTAGCCTGGGTCGGCTGGGGCGGCCAATGCCTGACCCCGTTCGTCTTCCACGTCTCCGCAGGTCAACGTTTTCCGCTTCGCGCGACCTACCCCGCCCTCAAGAAGATGTTTCAGTGGCAGCGGCGGTTGAATGCGCATGCTGCCGCCGAGCGCTGGCTGTCTGAGCCCTTCGACACTTCGGTCATGCAGCGTGCGTTGCAAGATGCCGCGGTCCAGGGCCGCGTGCGCACAGCGCTGTTGTCGCGCGGGAGCCAGTGCAACGTGGGCCGAGGAAAAGTGGCGGCAGAAGGATGCGCAGCCGAGGTTGAATGCGAGGTGTGTAAAGGCCCAGTCGATTCAATTCCCTACGGTTTCTTCGACTGCCCTGGGGCCCACGGCTCGAGGATGACAGGAGGAGGACGTCCGAGAGCTCCCTGATCCAAGGGGAATGCCCGCGCGTTATTTTTGTTTCAGCTTCTTCTTGCGCCAGTTGCCCTGAGGCCCCCTGGGCCAGGTTTAGATTGCGCGTTTCACTGGTCAAGCGATGGCCAACCCGAGGGACTTGCCATGCTAGGTGGAATAAGTCACGACGGCAGCACTGTGAATCCTGGGCCTGGTCCGCGGTCCAAGTCGACGAGGCTGGGGGCCTAGTCGCCGGCCTCTCGGGCCTCGTGAGGGCCAGCCTGCCGCTCGCGTCGCCGCCGCCGAGCACCCGGGGGATCTCGCGGCGGCCTCGCGCCCCAAGGTGGCCAACGCGTGGGCGGATTCTACGATGCATTCTCTCGGTCCACCGGGGCCCAGAGGTCTGGGAAGGACATGTGTGCTGGAGTTTCTGGTTCAGCCGGGGCTCTCTGGAGAGCTCGCGGCCTTGTGACCCCAAAAACTCAGAGCCCACGCGGACCAAGAAGTCCTTGAGGCTGGCTCGATGGACTGTTTCGTTGGAAGAGGGAACGATTGCGCCGACCAGGTCGCCGAGCAAGCGGCGGTCCGCATCCCGGGCCCGTCCCAGCAGGAACTCGAATTATATCGAGAAACCAGTGGCCGAGTCCAGAGACAGGTCAGATTCGCAACAGAGGCGTTCACCTTCCCGTCTCCCCTAGCCCCGCGCACAAGGAAACATGCCTATGAAAGGCTCTTTGGGGCCGCGGCCACCCTTGGAGGTGCTGCAGGAGCGGTCCACTTCTGGACTGCGCCCCTCCCCAACCCGCAGGTCTGCTTCGGCGTGCTCGTGCGTTGGTTGTGCTTGGCCTGCCGCGCGAGAGCCAGGTCTGACAGCGCCCGCACGTCCAGCATGATTGACGCATGCCCCGGCAATTCTGTTGCCCTCTCTACCCTGATAAGGGCGCTCAGCAAGCACGCTTTATTTGTGTGCGACGACCTCGGTGTTGAGTCCTTCATTGCGGTGTGCAAGAAGTGCGGCCGCTTTTCCAGAGAGTAGTCTGAAAGGTCCCCGAGGCGAATGTAAGAAATGCATCCAACGCAAGTGCTCCCAGAATGCTTGGGGCCTTTTTGTCGGGTGGCCGGCGCCCCACAAGTCGCTTGAAGGCCGCCCCGCGTGAGTCCCTGATGCTCAGCTCCTCATGGGCGGGGCGCAGAGGCAGGCCGAAGAGAACGTCAAGGGATGGTCGGATGTAACCCAAGGTTTTTGGTCGGTCGGCCTGACCTCAGCCTCCCCTCGCAGCCTGTGATGGTCCTCCTCCTCCTCCTCCTCCTCCTCCTCCTCCTCCTCCTTCTCCTCCCCAACCTCCCCCATCCCCTGTCTTCATAAGCAGCTCTTCCGTGTCGCACCCGCAAGCGTTTCAGTGGAGCGTGCTGGGCTTCTCGCTGCGGCTTCAAAGTGTGGCTTTCGCCTTGCCGCCGCCTTTATTGTTGCTGGAAGTTCGCAGCGGTTTTAAGGATGCGGTGGTTTTCCACATGGGGCTCTCGCCTTGGTGTCTCGCGCGTTCGTCTTGCAAACAAGCAGCATTTCCAGGGATGGAGGACGTTTTTTGGGGGGTCTGCGCTTGAGACCTTTACAATTCTCAAAACCAGACTATTAAACATACGTGGCAGCTGTACGGATCGAGGGCAGTTCCTTTTCAATATGGGGCTATCGTTGGAGACATTCTCAGAGATCATGACCAGAAGTGCAAACCTTGTGCAAAGGTTGCATTGATGTGGGCCCGTTGTTTTCAAAACTGCGTTCTCGTTGGGCACCTCGTTGAGCTGTGTGATTATACCGTCACCTCAATGGATGGGGCCTGCTCTTCCAAGGGGGTTGTCTCTTGCAGTGAGGAATGCGTGTGGGGACCTGGGGGGGAGGGGGCTCGGGGCGGGAGGGTGTACTGCAGCATCGTTGATGCATCTTGGGCTTACTCTGGTCCTCCTCCTCCTCTTCCTCCTCCTCCTCTTCCTCCTCCTCCTCCTCCTCCTCCTCCTCCTCCTCCTAACCGCCGCTTCTTGGTGCCACCCTGGCGGGGCGTCGGGCCGGAGGATTCGGCGGCCTCCTGCGCCCCGGAGGGGTTGCCCGCCCCGCCCGATTGCCAGGTCACCGCGGACGGCGTCCGGCTGCGGGTGGCGTGGCCCCGGGAGGCGTCCCCGAGGGGCGGGGTCGGGAGCCTCGAGGCGGGGTCCACGCAGACGGGGGTCCGCCAGAGCGCCGGATCCTGCAGGACCCTGCAGAGCCAGGGGGGCACTGACCCGTCTATGTGGAGGTGGGAGGATGAGGAGGAGGAGGAGGAGGAGGAGGAGGAGGAGGAGGAGGAGGAGGAGGAGGAGGAGGAGGAGGAGGGGGAGGAGGAGTAGGAGGAGTAGGAGGAGGAAGAGGAGGAGGAGGAGGAGGAGGAGGAGGAGGAGGAGGAGGAGGAGTGGAGACCACAGTGCTCTACTCAAAACGAGAACCCAGCACCAGGCCCGAGTGGCCCTGGCGTGCATGGAGCCGGGTCGGTGCGTCCCCGAGCGGGGGCGCCGCGGCAGCCGAGGAGGTTTTTAGGTTTGTGATGCGCCCAGTTCGGCCTCGGGAGGCCCGCTTCGGGCCCTGGGGCCGTCAGGAATCGATCTTGGGCAAGACGCTGTCCAGGATGGACCCTGGGCGGGGTCCGGCGACTGGTTTTGAGCAGATCTCGCCTGCGGTAGGCTCGCGTCGCGGTGACACGGCGGCGACGACCCTACCGCGGGCGTTCAGTATCGAGTTCGGCCAGTTGCCCAGAATCGGTCGATATCGAATGGTCGGCGCCACGGCAAAGCCGCGATACCTCAAGAGTGAGGGTTCCACGCGCCACGCGGTGCCCAAAACCCAGCGTCCGCGTCGCCACGATATCATCCCGCCGCATCAAAAGTACCGCTCTGGGGGGGAGGGTCCACCCTGACCTCCCAGAGAGTTATTTTTTAGCACTGGAGGCCTAAAAACCTAAAACGCTGAGCGAAACTGCCTAAAACCAAGACGTAGAATAGCTCTAGGATAGGTTTTTAGGTCGGGTGCTATTTTTTAGCCCTCCTGGAAGGTCGGGGCAGGCTGCTGCAGGCCACCCAGGCGGATCGAGGCCCTCGGGCGCGAGGGGGCACCCGCCAGCCCCCCCCCGCACGAATGCCACAAGCCCGGGCCCTCCGGGGAGTGCGCGGCTCCGTCGGTCGGTTCGGCCGCGCCGCAGCCGGTGGCGCTCGGCCGGTTCGGCTCGGCCTGCCGCCGCGCCGCCGCCGCGCCGCTGCTGCGCCGCTGCGCCCTTCTATGGACTGCCTGCGGCCTGTGGCTCTCGGTCGGCCTCGGCTTTTCGCTGCCCGTGCCGCCTGTTTTCGCCGTGGGCGGCCGGCCTTGCGCCCGACTCGTGCGGTGTCCAGCGCCGGCGTCAACACCCACAGCGGCCCTCGAGAAGGGATGGCCGCCTCATCCCCATGCGTCCCCACACTGCCGTATCCTTCGGATGCAACTCCTGGGAGGTCAAATTCTCTTTTTGCCCTGGTCCCAAATCTTTCCTAATCCGGTTTAATCCGGCTTAATCCCGCTTGATCCGGCTTAATCCCGCTTTATTCGGCTGCATCCCGCTTAATCCGAGGCCCACTCTGGCGCAACAGCTCCCAAATGGGGCTTAATCCTCCTTAACCTTTCCGACGAAAACCTCCCAGTAGTTGCCTCCTACGTATCCCCATGCTCTCCTTCATGGCTCTTCCCCATCTCCTAGGGGGCCGACGGGAGTCCGCACGAGTCCTCAGGAGTCTCAGAGGCGTTTTTTCCCTACAAATAATTTGAACGAGTTGTGGGCACAAACAAAATCATGATGTCCGCCTGGGCCCCCGTCGGACGAGCGGAGATGCGAGCGCAGTGGCGCGCGCGGTCGCGCGCGACCCACCGCTGGTAATAACGTGAATGCGTGGGCGTCGCGGCGACGGCGACGGCGACGGCGACGACGACGGCGGCGTCTGCGCCGACGGTGACGACGACGGCGGCAACGGCGACGGCGGCGACGACGAACATCGCGGCGACGGCGGCGACGGGGCCCGGGCCCACGGGCGAACTTACGCCCCGCCCGCGTTCCTGGAGTCCCGGGCCAGAGTTCATGGGAGGAGCAAGGTTTTCGCGCGCAGTTTTATCCCAGCCGCTCTTTCGCTTTACTAAAGCTACCTTCTCGCTTTAGCGAGCCGTCGTTTTTTCATCGGAATGCATCGAGCGGCGCGCCTTTACTAAAGCCGTTTCCTTGCTTTAGTGAAGCCGCCTCCTCGCTTCGACATAACCGCTTCTGCGCTTTAGTAGAACCGCTTCCCCGTTTTAGTAAAGTCCGCTGTTTGCAGGGACAGGTCGGGGGGCGGGGGGCCCCTGTTTGTTCTGCCAGTTCACCCCGCGATGCGTTTACTCGAGTAATCAGGGTCGCGTTGCATCGGATCGCGGCGACCCTTGGTCATGTTTTCAACGAATTGTAACTGCTCCTTGACAGAAGATTCAGGGCGCGAACGCAGGACGCGGTTCAGCAATTCGGACGCGCCGCCGCGTTCCCTTTGGCATATAGCTCCTTCGAAGTAACAATGTGAATATTTCGCTTCCAAGAGTCCTCGGCTCCTGCCGAATTCTCCTGCGTCTTGCGGAAAGGTGTAGGAACCCAGGGGGATCCGCCAGGGATCCTCACGATTCCCAATCCGGAGGAACTCCTTCAGCTGTCCTTGCCGACTCGGCAGGGGTGTTCAGGGATAGTGAGAAATCCATGGGGGTCTTTTACGAATCCGCAGGGAATCCTGTGGGGTCGTCACCAAATCGGCAGGAATCTGAAACTCCCCGGGGATCCTTGGTGGAATCCGCGGAAATTCCAAGGTACCCTCAGGAAGTACCCAAAACCCGATCTGTTGTTGTAGGAGTCCTTCAGGAATCCTCCCGGGCTTTTTTTTTCAGGAGTCCTGGAGGAATTCTTCCGGTATTTTCAGGAGTCTTCAGGAAACTATGGGCTTCAGGAGGAATCCTCACGAACTTCAGGAGCCCCGCGGACCATACAGGAATTCAAGAATCCTCCCGCGTCCCCAAGAATCCTTCAGGATCCTCGCGGGGATCTTCAGGATAAGGAATCCTTAGTAATCCATCGGGATCTTTGGGGATGTTTCGGAAACCGAAAAAATCTCGCCAGATCCCAGGAATCTTTCTGGAATCCTCCAGGGACCATTTTGGGGAGTCTCGAGGACATGTCAGGAACCCTCCCGAATCTTCAGACATCGACAGGAACCTTCATGGAACCGTAAAGGGTCTTTCACAAATCGTTCAGAAGCCGTCCCGGCCCCTCAGGGGATTTCAGGACCCCACGTGGGATTTTCAACATCTTCCAGAATTCAGAATCTTCCGGAACTCTGAGGACACTTTAGGAAGGCACTTGGAATCTCCAGGAACCCTCCAGGAATCCGGTAGGAATCTTCTCCCATGCCCTGCATGCCCTGCACAGGGCCGAGCAGCCGACAGGCATGCTCGCGTGGTTCGCTCGCTCGCCCCCCGAATCCATCGCGAAACCCGAGGAATCCCAAAGGCATCCGCAGAAATTCCGACGATATTGGAGGACAACTCAGGAAACCGAAGGAACCATTCAGGGCTCAGCAGGGATTCGGAACAGTCATTCGGAGTCTTGTCGCATTGCTGCGGGATCTTCAGGAATCTTCATCTATAGTTTGGGATCTTCAGGACTGATTAGATATTCGGATGAATCTTTCGGGTCCCTCAGAGATCCTCAGGACAGTTTGGGGGCCCTGTCTGGGCAGTCGTGGTTCCTTGTTTGGGCGCTGTAGGGCCTTCTTGGAGATCAATGGGGCCGTCTTGGGGGCCACTTGGGCCGTCTTACAGGCCTCTGGGGCTGTCTTCGGGCGGTCCTTGGGGCCAACTGGGCCGTCTTGGAGCGGTGGTCGCCCGACAAGGCGAGAACGCTACAATCCTTGAGAAGCCATAAGGAAGATCAGTGATGTAGGCCTCCTGGAGGTGCTTCTGAATCCCCCTTTGGGCTGTCTCGGGCTCTCCCTGGGCCCTCTTGGCCGTCTCGGAGGCCTCTTGGGATGACTTCTCAAGCCATCTAAGCCGTCGTGGAGGCCATCTCGGGTCATCTTGGCAGCCTTGGGGCCATCCTGGGGCCCTCTCAGGCGAGAGCGCCGACGGGAGAGACCTCCTCCGCGCTGCTGGGGCGGTCGGCCGAGACCCCATGGGGAACCTTCTAGGCATGTTTTTCTTCCTCCTCCTCCTCCTCCTCCTCCTCCTCCTCCTCCTCCTCCTCCCTCCTCCTCCTCCTCTCCCCCCCTCCTCCTCCTCCTTTCTTCCTCCTCCTCGTCCTCCGCCTCCTCCTCCCTCCTCTCCTCCTCCTCCTCCTCCCCCCTCCTCCCCTCCCCTCCTCCTCCCTCCTCCTCCTCCTCCTCCTCCTCCTCCTCCTCCTCCTCCTCCTCCTCCTCCTCCGCCTCCTCCTCCTCCTCCTCCTCCTCCTCCTCCTCCTCCTCCCTCTCCTCCTACGCCTCCTCCTCCTCCCGTCCGACAAATCAGCAGGGGTCGACGCCTACGGCGATTCACCGCCGCACCCTGCCTTTCGGGGTTGCGGCCATCTCGGCCGTCTTGGAGGCATCTTGACCACCTTGGATGCCATCTTGAAGCCATCTGAAGCGAACAAGCTGACGAAACCAGCAGCTGGCGCGCTGTGCTGAACGCGGCCCAGGGGGAGTTCCCCCAAAAACCATAACTTGTCAGAATGCCCAGCAAGCCGGGCGGCCCTGTGGTAAGCCAACAGGGGGCGGCGGATCGAAGACGCCTACGGCGAATCACCGCCGCCCCCTGCCTTTGTGGAAGCGCCTCTGTGGCCAAACGTTGGACCCCAGCTTGACCAAGCCACCGGACTATGTGTTCCCCCAGCCGTCCTGGAAATTCTTGGGGGAACACTTGGAGGAGGATGAGGGCGAGGATCAGGAGAGGGAGGAAGAGGAAGAGGAGGAGGAGGAGGAGGAGGAGGAGGAGGAGGAGGAGGAGGAGGAGGAGGAGGAGAAGGAGGAGGAGTGAGAGGCGGACCTCTTGGTCCGCTTTTTCTGCTGTAGAAAAGACGCAAATGCCAAAATCCTTCAGACACCGATGGGGAACCAATGATTTTTATCTCTTC